CAGAATAGAGTTGCCCCATAGGGTTTCCAAGGCTGTTAATCTTTATGAAAGCAGACTGCTTCATCTTTCTTCTGGAGAGCAGATGATAGGTTCAATCCCTTGACCTTTTGGTACCAGGCAAATGCTTCAACTACTATGCCACCAAACCCACTGCCTTCCAGTTGATTCTGACTCATGGCAACCCCCATTGGGTTTCCAAGGCTATAAATCTTTATGAAAGTAGTTTGCCTCATCTTCCTCCTGCAGAGCAGCTGGTGGGTTTGAACCTCTGACCTGGTCAGCAGCCAAATGTCTTATCCACTACACCACCAGAGCTGCCTAATTACATACTTAAGGGCCAGGGAAATGACTATGAAGTGGATCCATGGACCCAATGTAATATACATTTGGCTTTTGACTCTGTTTATTACCTGATTCCCATTTGCCCCTGCTCTAAGGGAGAGAGGAGAGAATGATGTAACGTTGGGTAGTCCACCTCTTCCACATATACTACCTCAGGAAATGGGTGCAGGCCTCTTTGGAGAGGAATGGGGGAATTGCTCCATATTTACTATGCTAATTGAAAGGTCAGTGGTTTGAACACACCAGCTGTTCCATGGGAGAAAAATATGGCAATCTGCTTTGGTAAAGATTACACTCTTGGAAACCCCAATTCTACTCTGTCTATAGAGTCACTGTGAGTCAGAACTGACTCAGTGACAATGGGTCTGGTTTGGTCTTTGTTACTATGGGGCCCAGTTGTGTAACAGCATCTCTGCCACCAGCCCAAGCCAATGAAGATGTGTTGTTGTTGTTGTTATGTGCCGTCAAATTGGACCCAACTCATAGCAACCCCTTCTTGGGTTTCCAAGGCAGTATCACTATGGACGTAGAATTGCCCAACCTTCCTTCCAAGGAGTGGCTGGTGGGTTTGAACCGCCAGCCTTCTGGTTAGCAGTCAAATGCCTTGGGCACTACACTACCTTAGCCACTACTAAATTGCAGTGATGCTGATGGTCCTCCAACCAGTGCATTTCTTCTAACCTTGGTACAACACAATGCTCTCCAAACCACCTTAAGAAACATAGCTTACGTAATAGTCACTCTAGCTTGTCTTTTTGAGTCTTTCTGATCTCTTTCAGAGTCTGTGCCAGCACTTCTGGTATCTCTACTTAATGTGAGCCATTGCCTTCTCTAAGTTTTCAAGAATCATCTCTGTCCTGCCAGTGTTAAATTTTGCCACACAAGAGTGCCCTCACTTCCAACTTCATATACCACCCTCAGGCTAGTCTCCCAGTCCCACCAACACGTTAGCCAGCTCCTTAGGGCAATCATCCCTCTCCCACTGTAGCAGACCCACCACTTGCAGTCAGGTCATGGTGAGAACTGATCCTCTTACTTGATCACAGACAGGTAAGGCGCTGGGAGCAGATTCTGAAGATTGCCAGCATTGCCTTGTACATTTCCCACCTCATTTGAGGCTCATACATTGTTTTCAGAAGGTGGTCTGGTTGCTCACTGGTTAAGGCATTCAGCTGCTAACTAAAGGGTCAGCAGTTCAAACCACCAGCCGCTCGCAGGAGAAAGATGAAGCAGCCTGCTTTTGTAGATATGTACAGCCTTAAAATGTCTAGAAGGGAACATATCCATGACCATATATAAGCTTGGCATACAGTATTTCTACATACTTATTTGTATGTGGTATAAGAATGTCCATAAATATAATAGAGCTAACAGGGCAAAGTTATGATAACTTCTTAGCCACAGCCAAACATTCTGAGAGAGTGAGGCACGGCCCATTGGCTTGGGACCATAGGCATGGGGGATATCAAGCTCAATTGACGTAATACACTACAAAAAAAAAAAAAACACTGTTCTACATCCTACTTTGGTGAGTAGCGACTGGGGTCTTAAAGGCTTGCAAGTGTCCATCTAAGATGCAACAATTAGTCTCTCCTCATCCAGAGCAAAGAAAATCAAAGATGCATGGAAACAATTAGGCCAAGGGACTAGTGGACCATGTGAACCTCAACCTACATGACCCTGAGACCAGAAAAACTAGATGGTGCCAAGCTACCACTGTCAACCACTTGGAAAGGGATCAAAATAGGAGATTCTGGATGGAGTGGGAGAAAAATGTGGAACAAAATTCAAAACCATAAAAAAGACCAGGCTTACTGGTCTGATAAGAGACTGCTGAAACCCCTGAGACATGGTCCCTAGTCACCCTTCAGTTGTGGAAGAATTGCACTCCTGTGGCTCCTAACCAAACAACAGACAGGGGTATTAAGGGAACATTTACACCCAGGTAGGGAAGAACACTGTCCATCATGGGAGACCAGAAAGGCAGGGAGATAGTCAGTGGGCAGGAATGCATAGGAAAGGACACAAGGAAAAGGTAACCACCAGGAAGAAGTGGGAAGAAACAATATGGGGATTACAACCAATGTCATGAAACAAAATGTATATGAACTGTTGTATGAAAAGTGAATTTGCTCTGTAAACTTTTACCCAAATCATTTTTTTTTTTTTTTTTTTTTTTTTTACAGCCTTGGAAACTCTATGGAGCAGTTCTACTCTGTCTTTTAGGGAATCTAGTTGGAATCCACTCAATGGCAGGTTTGGGTTTGGGTTTGGTATTGTTTTCAAGCAAGGAGAAATCTCGTTTTCCAACAAGGTGGCCGCTTCTGCAGAGCTGGAGAGTTCAGGGCATCTGGGGATTGAAAATGCTCAAGGACATGTACCCATATAGCCTCATCCTGTCCCACTTCTCTCCTATCAGGATCCTGACCAGGCTAGACTGGCCTCTGTTGAAAATTCAGGCTTTGCTGAAGTCTGTCATTCTCAATTATGTCCTGTACCTGACTCTGTAACTCCATCTGCAGAGGTGGGTCTCTTTAAATCATACCAAAGAAGCTCTGACTCTCACACTTTGCCTTATGTTGAAGGTTTTTCCTTTTTTTTTTTGAGGAATCAATGCCACCCAGTTCCATAATCCTTAATATTATTTCTCCTATCTGTCCCAAACATTACATGTCAGTACATTCCTTACTACCCATATCCCATCCCAGTTTACCAGAAATGGATGGTTCAACAATTGAACAGCTACCACATGCCAAAAATACCAAAACCAAACTCACTGCCATCGAGTCGTTTCCAACTCATAGCAACCCCTACTGGGTTTCCAAGGCTGTGAATCTTTACAGAAGTAGATTGCCCAGTCTTCCTTTGGTGGAGCAGCTGGTGGGTTTGAAACGCTGACCTTCCAGTTAGCAGTCAAGTCCCTTATCCACTACACCACCAGAGCTCCTTTCCACATGCCAAACCAAAACCAAACTCACTGCTGCTGTGTCAATTGTGACTCACAGCAACCCCTCCTTGGGTTTCCAAGGTAGTATCTCTATGGAAGTTGACTGCTCAACCTTCCTTCTGAGGAGTGGCTGGTGGATTTGAACCACCAGCCTTCTGGTTAGCAGTCCAATGCCATAGGCACTACACCACCAGAGCTCCCTACCACATGCCAGGAACTATCAATACTCCACTTGTCATCAGTGTTAGAGTCCTCATTGCCTCATGGTGAGTGGCCAACTCACCCCATTCTTAAAGTTTGCTTCCTAGGACCACTCATGACACTGAATATCTGAGGTCAGGTTCCCTAGAAGCAGAGCCTGGGACAGGGATTCCAAGCCAGATGACTTATTAAAGGAATGTGCTTCAGGAAGGCCTCTGAAGGAACGAATCTGGATGGAGAAGGAGAAAGAGCCAAGTGTGGATATCATCCCAGGTAAACTCTAGCCCTGGCCTGATCCATAAATGGAGGGTTCTGGAGCATAAACTGCATCCCAGCCCCACCCTTCTTGAGACAACTCAGTCAGTCTTTTGTACCCCATATAAATCAGTGATTGGCTGTGGCTTGGGGCAGGGAGTAACTCCTGTGTGAGGCAGCTCCCATCATCCGAGACAGGTTCTCCAGAATCTCTGGAGAAAGGAGAAGGCTGTGAACACCTTGCAGCCAAATTCAGAGCAGATGGGGGATACGTGTACTAGCTTGGTAAAGGGGATCTAGACATGGCACCACAGTGTACAATACAGACAACATTCAACAAACATTTATTAGGCATTTATTGTTAATCAGGCAAAGCCAGAAGCATGGCTTCAGTGGTGCCCAGTACTCTCTCCCTCTCTCTAGCAAACATGCTCAAGTTAACCTTCTTATACATATCTTCTTTCCCCATCAAACTCCGTGCTAGACCTTCCCACAAGGTAGGGATAACCATACCATGTACCCATCTACTCCTAATTAATTCGATTCCAGCTGGAACTCGAACAGAAAGCATTCTATACATCATTACCTTATGGTAATGGTCTATCACCACCAAGGCAACTGGAAATCAGTATACATACTGCTTGGACCAAGATGCTTAATACAACAAAGTCCAATTCCTCTATGGACTTAGCTACCCTCATTCTTGTTATATAGTAGTATCACTCTTAGTAATATAACTAGTCCACAATTTTGCCCATCTTCTTTTTTTCCCTAAGGTACCCTCTAGTCCCTTCTCTGACTGACCAACAGTTTCTCCTGATTGACATCTCTTGAAGTTCTCTTCTTTCTACTAGCTAACCATGAGGCTAATAGAATCAAACAAAAACAAGGTAGAGTGTTTCGTACAGAAGCCACTGAATGAAAGAGGCAGCAGGAACGCATGCCACTCAGCCTCTGAACCCCAATTTTCCTAAAATATAAATACCTTGAGTCATTTTCTTCCTTCTAAAAGGGTTTAATACTTAATACGTGAATGACTGGAGGATTCTAGTGGCTGGGATAATCATTTCTAGAGAAAGTTCATTGCTGAGGTACCAAAACAAGTATGATACTGAAGAGTCCTTTCCTTCTTTCACTGTTCTTGAAGAGATATGCTACTTTCAAGCAAGGCAGAAACTACAAATGAAGCTTATTTCTACTGTATTCATGAGGCTTTTCCTAGTGTCAGTTTTCTGAGTTTCACAGAAAGAATGAATGCCATCTGAAGGCTTTCCTTCATCTACCATATCCTAGGTTCTCCATGTAGATTCTCAAGTGTGGAGATGCTAACCAAAGCACTTCTCAAGGACGAAAGCAAACAAGGATCAACTTTTGTGCATTTCCAATATTCCTAAAGGCTGAGTTTTAACTGAAGGATCTCAACATGTCTGTAGGCTTATGGTTAAGTTGGAGAAAATGCTTGAATTTTGTTTTCTGTTCCCATGTAAGATTCTTGTCAAGAAGGCTTCTCTTTAATTAAGAGCTGTTCTACAAGAGAAACATCTACACACTTATGGTATTTATGGGATCTGTTCTCTCATGGCTTCTCAGATGTTTAAAGAGGCTACAACTCCAACTGAAACTTGTTCCACATTCTTTACACTGAAAGGGTTTCTCTCCTGTATGAATTCTTTGATGTTGATTAAGATGTGACTTCAGAGTGAAGCATCTTCCACATTCATTACATTGATAGGATTTTGTGCTGGAATGGAGTTTTGGATGTTGTTTTATGTGGGAACATTGGCCAATGTTTTCTCTACATATATCACATTCATAGGTTCTCTCTTCAGTATGAGTTCTGTAATGCTGAATAAGGTCTGAACCATAACTAAAGGCTTTTCCACACATATCACACTTATAAGGCTGCTCTTGGACCTCAATCTTCTTATCTTCAAACACTGTTAAGTTCCAACCATATGCTTCTTCACAAATGCCATTTTTCTCGTTTTTCTGACCCATGTGGAGCACCTGATGCTCAATTAGGCTAACATATTGGAAAAAGATTTCTCCACATTCTTGACACTGATGGGATTTCTCTCTAGTGTGGAGTCTCAGATGTCCAGCAAGGTGTGACCGCCTGCCAAAGCTTTTCCCACATTCATTACATTTAAAGGGTCTCTCCCCACTGTGGACACTCTGATGCTGAACAAGATGGGACCTCACTCTAAAAGCTTTCCCACATAAATGACAGGTATAAGGTTTTTCACCAGTATGCACTCGCTGATGTTGAGTAAGGTGCACACGTTGATTGTAGCTTTTCCCACATTCATCACACTTAAACGGCTTCTCTCCAGTGTGGATTCGCTGATGTTGAATAAGATGCGCACTCTGAATAAAGCTTTTTCCACATTCATTACATTTATATGGTCTCTCTCCTGTAGAGGACTTTTTGTGGACATAAGTGACTTCATTGAAATTTATCTTCTTTGAAGGAAGTTGTCCTAGTATTGCTTTCATGGGAATTTCCTGATTTTTATCCAACTTGCCTTGATGTTCATAGTCGTCTCCAAAATTCTGGACTTGAGAAACATTTCTTTGGATTTTTCCTGACAGTTCCATGTCTGCTTCTGAAAATTCAGAAATTTTCTTCTTAACATTCAATTTTGTATTCTTCCTTCTTTTGTCGCTGCCTGAAAAAAATAAAGAGGAAATGCCAATGTTAACTGTTCTTTTACGGAAGAAAAGGAAACTGTCAGGGAAAATAGGATGATCAGATGAAACTATTATGTAATAGGAGTATCAAAAATGGATCCATGTATGTAATTGATGCCAAGAGAAATGAAAAAAAACAAAAAAAAGGAGGGGTGGGGTGGGGTGGGAGTTGTCCTGTGAAAACAGCAAGACAAAGAAGAGGCTAACTTAGAAGGGTGGTGAAAGTGAGTGAGGTTAGGCAGTAACAGGGATATGTGGAAACTTATTATACAGAAAAGAGGGAAAGAGATTTTAAAATGGGAGTGAGGATAGAAAGTGTGGAGGGGGTCATTATCTCAATATAAGTCAGGCAAAAAGAATGAGGTAGGGCAAGAATAAACATATGGATGGTGGGAAATGACAAAAACTGGAAGAATGGAAAGCAATGGATTATGAAAGGCATAAGGAATTGGGGAAAATACCTGATTAGGAACAAGGAAAAGAGAGAAATTAGCCAGAAAAAATTACTGCCACAAAAGGGTAGGTGAATATCAATCCCTGTCCTCTTCGCCTTAGCCAACTCTATAGCTTCCACTTCTTCCCCAACACACTACATTCTTCTCCTTTGGGAATGCTCATCACTTTAATATCTGCTTTCTTCTCCTTCCCCTCGAGACCATCAGCTCCATGAGCACATGACCTGTATCTGTTCTGTTCACTGCCGTATCCTGAGCACCTAGCACTGTTGTTGTTGTTGTTATGTGCCGTTGAGTCGGACCCGACTCACAGCGACCCATCCTTGGGTTGCCGAGGCGGTATCACTACAGAAGTAGATTGCCCAACCTTCTTTCCAAGGAATGGCTGGTGGGTTTGAACCGCCAGCCTTCTGGCTAGCAGTCAAGTGCCTTAGACACTATGCTACCAGAGCTCCCATCTAGCACTAGAGGCTGTCAATAAATGTGGCTGGATGAGCACATTGATCCAAAAAATGGGAAAAAGGGGGTAGGTGAGTATTAACTGGGTAACTAGTCATAAGAGCAACTGGGGAGAAAGGATATAAAATAGATGCTATTTTAAAGCAATTTCTTTCCAAGTCCACAGCTTGGTGGAAGGCTTTCTTTCCCCAGTGAGGCAGTCAGAAGTGGCTGAGGAGAGAGCTGAGCTTAACCCAGAACGTCATACACTCCTAATCCACGATGGAAGAGGCAGTAGTGGTTGTTATGTTGAATGATGAGTAGCTGAGCTTGGGGATGTCAAAAGCATAATTAACAAAGAAATCATAAAACTTTAACCAATTATAGAGTTGTCTGAAGAATATTAGAGCCTTTAAGTTCACAGCACAGGTTACAGTGATCCTACGCACACACACACACATATATATAATTTTACACACATTTAATGCCACTTGAACAGAAAAGGAAAATACTCAACCTCATTTATAATCAATTAATGAATATGAATACAACAAAGAATAGTCTTCTGCTTACTCAATTTGTTAAAAAAATATTTAATAATGCTGGCAAGAATTTGGCAAAAATGATTCTCTCCTATGTGGTACAATTCTCTTACAAAGCAATTTGGTAATATGTGTCAAGAGTCATACTGATACTTTTATCCTTTCCTCCATTACGCCCACTTCTTGGAATCTACTGTAAGAAAATAAATCTAAGTAGTGAAGAAGCTATAGGTACCGCACAGTCATCAGAACAAAAGAGCAAATATCAGAAGTTCAATAATTGGGGAGCGGTTGAGTAAACTATGATATAGCCACACAATGGTAGACTATATAGTCAAAAATAACAAATAGAAGGCGAGGCAACATTGGCAAATGAAGGTACCTAAGATTTAATTGTACCCTATGATACAAATAAGGAACCCTGGTAGTGCAATGGTTGAGCAGTTGGCTGCTAACCAAAAGGTCAGTGGTTCGAACCTACCAGCTGCTCTGTGGGAGGAAAGACCTGGTGATGTGCTCCTATAAAGATTTCAGCCCAAGAAATCCAATGGGGCAGTGCTCTAGGGTCACAGTGAGGCAGAATCAACTCGACAGCACACAACAACAACTATAGTAAAAACAGGCACGTGAAGAAAGAGGGAAATACACCAAAGGACAGTTACATTAGTAACTGTTGGCGGGATTATGTTAAAATGGTGGGATTATGCGTGATTTTCCCCCCTTTCTTTCCCCCCACATTTTCTATACTGCTGCTCTTTTGTTATTTTAGAATGAAATATGTGAAATAACCGAGTAAGGAAATGGAGGAAGAGGGAAAGAAGCATGTAAGAGAGTTTAAAAAAAAAAAAATCTTATTTACTATAATAAAAGTCAACAGGTAATGTCTAAAACTGACAATTCCAGAAACAACAGTATTATTTAAAAATACAGAATTACCAGAGGAAATAGATTAGGGCTGAAAGCAGCGAGCTCTGTGGAAAGGAAAGTTATAGAGATGAGAGGAGAGAAGGCAGACAGTACCACCTGTTACTCTGACAAGCAATTAAAGTACAAATGAGAACAACACAAACTACTATTTTTGCCCCTTCTTACTGCTCCCCGTCGGTCCCCATCTGTCCTACTGTCCACACCCCATCTGTCCTACTGTACTAAGCTAGTAAGATAATTTTTGCCTCTCTTTATCCCCAAATACAAACTCCTCACGCATACATCTTTGGGATTTCTCTCTGAAGTGGCGTTTCAGATGTTCAATCAGATGGGAATGCCGACCGAAGTTTTTTCCACATTCATTACATCCATAGGGTCTCTCTCCACTGTGCACGCTATGATGCTGAACAAGGTGTGAGCTCACCCGGAAAGCTTTTCCACACACCTGACATTTATAGGGTTTCTCACCAGTGTGGACTCTCTGATGCTGAGTAAGGTGCACACGCTGATTATAGCTTTTCCCACATTCACCACACTCAAACGGTTTTTCTCCAGTGTGGATTCGCCGATGTTGAATAAAGTTTGAGGCTTGAAGGAAAAATTTACCACAATCATGACATTTGTGACCTCTCTCACCATTTGTGTGTTGCTTACGGTTAAGGCCTGTGATTTCACCAAGATCTCTTTTCTGAGAAGGGTGCTGCCTTGATCTCCCCACAGTGGGGTTTACCTGCCACCTCTCTACCATGCCCCTTAGGTCACTAACTTCTGCAAACTCTGGGCTCTGGGGCACATTCCTCTCAGTGCTTCCTGATGTCATCCACTGTGACTCGGCTTCATCAGAAATCTGCTCTACCATGAGTTCCATGTTGTCATTCCTGGACTCATAATCTGAAATAATAGAAGGAAAACGGAAACATCAGCAAGCCCTTGCATTAGAAGGAAGAAAACGACTGCGGGATATGGGATAATCAAACGACACTGACAAGTGCTGGCAATGCATGACTTCTAAAGTCATTGGCAAAATGACTTTACGGTACAGGGATATGATAAAGAACATTCAAGCAGGAAATGGAGACCAGTTAGGGAAGGAAGAGCTGGCAAAAATGGTTTGAAGGGATGAGCCTAGACCTAGAAGAGCAGTCACTGTATTTAATGAAGATGCTACCTTCTTGGTATGGTCCTTACGTATGGTACCTGTTTGTGAATACCTGTGCAGTGTTAATTATTCCTAATAAAATTTGATACTGGGTTATGCAGCTAACCCAGTCTTCATCCTCCTCTTCCTGTTTATTTCTAGCCTGGAGAAGAAAGATGATCTTTCCAGGTTTTTCAATC